GAAGTCCAGTGTTAAGTTTCCACAGTCTGTGATGATTTGGGGTGCAATGTGGTGTTGGGGTGTTGGTCCATTGTGTTTTTTGAAAACCAACATCACTGCACCCGTTTACCAAGAAATTTTGAAGCACTCCTTCTGCTGTTCTGCTGACCAGCTTTTTGAAGATGCTGATTTCATTTTCCAGCAGGATTTGGCACCTGCCCACACTGCCAAAAGCACCAAAAGTTGGTTAAATGACCATGGTGTTGGTGTGCTTGACTGGCCAGCAAACTCACCAGACCTGAACCCCATAGAGAATCTATGGGGTATTGTCAAGAGGAAAATGAGAAACAAGAGACCAAAAAATGCAGATGAGCTGAAGGCCACTGTCAAAGAAACCTGGGCTTCCATACCACCTCAGCAGTGCCACAAACTGATCACCTCCATGCCATGCCGAATTGAGGCAGTAATTAAAGCAAAAGGAGCCCCTACCAAGTATTGAGTACATGTACAGTAAATTAACATACTTTCCAGAAGGCCAACAATTCACTAAAAACGTTTTTTTTTTATTGGTCTTATGAAGTATTCTAATTTGTTGAGATAGTGAATTGGTGGGTTTTGTTAAATGTGAGCCAAAATCATCACAATTAAAAGAACCAAAGACTTAAACTACTTCAGTCTGTGTGCATTTAATTGATTTAATACACGAGTTTCACAATTTGAGTTGAATTACTGAAATAAATGAACTTTTCCATGGCATTCTAATCTATTGAGATGCACCTGTATGAGTCTGTCCTTTTGTCATTCGTTTTTTATAAATGTATTGTTTATTTTATCGTCTGCCACATGAAATTGCAAGCCTGATTGCATAGAAAATTAATAGTACACATCTCAACAAATTGAGGTATCATTTTTGTCTATAGTTGGGAATTTAGTGAATCCTGTTCCTAAATGATTCAATTAACAATTTTGTACTTTTAAGGAATAAGTGTTTAAAATTTTTTTTTTTTTTTTTAAACGGTTGCACTTTCATTGCTAAATGATGGAATACAAAATATGCTTATGTAGACTTTTAAATTGTAATTTAATGTTTACATAGTCTTTTTACTTTTTAGAAGCATCATAAATGTGAGTCAATAATTAGATTTAACTGTATAATATATAAATATTTATAAAATACTGTGTGTGTGTTTGTCTATCTCTATCTATCTATCTATCTATCTATCTATCTATCTATCTATCTATCTATCTATCTATCTATCTATCTATCTATCTAATATTTTAGTACGGTACACTGTCAGCAGTGGCAGAAGAATGCATGTGTTAATGGAATGTTAAACTGTTAATGGAACCAAATTAAAAAAGCATTCAAGTTTAAGTCCCAAATTTTTTTTAAAAGCCTTTATTATATCATGGCTAGAAATATTAAAAACAAGTACAAATAACATAGACAAACATGCTTATTTTTATTTTTTTCAATTAGTTATCCAAAGAACACCAAGAGATATGGGCATTATAAATAAGTAGCACTCTGCATTATTGCTGTTCTCAAAAATGTCCTCAGTTCCCAACCATATTCATGTCCATAGCTCAAACGCTGTGGGATGTTACAATCTTAAGTTTAATACCTAAGCTTAGAGATTTGAACAGACCCCTAACCCCAAGTATGAACAATAACAATTCTATTCAGATTCTGTTTGTTCAAAAACTTGAACCACTCTGTTGGGAGAAAAGGTTGCTTACTATTCTGTCAGCAAGTGCCATACATCACAGTGAAAGTGAAGAGTTGAAGAAAGGATGCGAGAACAATCAGACCACCCCTCTGAGAGGTGGGCCAGGGTTCAGCGCTATAGCAGCGATTGGGTGGATAGGACGACAGATGGAGCTGAGCGCTTGTCCAAGTTGTCATGGAGACAGAGGATGGTCTAGAGGCTGATTTGGAGTAAGTGTTGTCAAGGTGACAGGAGAAGGCTGGAAATGACAGTATTAAGGAACTGATAGCACTTCAGTCATTGTGTTGACTTAGAGTTCATACCCGTATCTGATGCCACAGGAAGTTCAGAGTCGCATCTTTTCCCAGCTGGCCCTGACTCTGCCCAATTTATGCCCTGGAGCCAGAATACCAAGAACAACAATATCTGCTGTGGACACAGTGGACATGGAGAAGAGGATCAGATCTCATGATTGAGGTTGGCTCCTCTAACAGGGTGAACTCGCCCGGCGTCCCACTCGCAGCGACTGTGTTTGCCTGTTAGTCTCGCAGCATGAGACAGCAGCTCTGCTCAGCCCACCGGCAGCACCATTTGGCACCCCCACCGTGCCTATTTGCTTCTTTCTTCATTGGAAAGCTGTGAACTCACAGTCTCTCATCTCTATTTCACCCTTAGTGGCTTGTTGTTGTTCTCTCGTTGTTATCATCCCTGTTCTAATTCTCTTTTTATTTATGTCTCTGTCTCTTCCTCTCTCACACTGGTAATGACTGTATGTGCTTCAGTCTATAATCATATAATTAGGGATGCACCGATACCACTTTTTCCAGTACTCACCCGATACCGATACTTTTATTTTTGGTACTTGCCGATACCGAGTACGATACCAATATTTTTATTGCATTTGTAAATTTTTAAAATAAAAATATAAAAAATTATATCTGGTCTCTGAATAATTTTTGGTTTGACTGTATGTCCTTGTGGTATGTGGTATCGGCGTTTGGTATTGGGGCATTTTAACGAGTACGAGTACAGGAGCTCAGTATCGGGCACGATACCAGTATCGGTATAGGTGCATCCCTACATATAATCAAACTTGGTGTGTAAATAGATATATGAGGGCAGACAATGTTCCTTAGCCCTGCAGGAAGTAGAGCAGGCTGCCAGGTCTGCGTGTCACATATGCCAGATGCGTTCAACTCTTTGTTGTCCATATATATTGATTGTGACCCTCATGGTCTGTTTGGAGTTTGAAACACCACAAGGCCCTTCAAGTAGCTCAAACAACATACATTATTCAGTGACAGTTCACCTAAAAATGCTAATTCTGTCACTATTTACTCACCCTTGTGTCATCCAAAACCTATGCTTTCTTCTGCAGAACGCAAAAGAAGAAATTGGGAAAAATGTCAGTAGGCAAACAGTTTTGGTGACCAATGACTTGACCATTGTATGGGGGAAAAAATGCTGAGATATTTCTCAAAATATCTTCTTTTATGTTCCACAGATGAAAAAGTCATACAGGTTTGTAATGACAGAATTTTCATTTTTGGGTGAACTACCCCTTTAACATTGCAGTGTGAAGTTGATCTCTTATGGCTTTTCTTATGACTGATAGTAAAACTAATGTGATTCAAACATTCTCCATGTAAAAAAATGTTGCATTATATCTATTAATTTATGTACAAAAATAACATACATGCAATGAATTTTCATATGCTAAGACTTGGATATACTGAAAGTATAGCAGTTTACTCCTGCCAGTAGTCTGTGGATTTGTTTTATTGTATTTTTCTAAAAAGTGTTTTTGTTGGTGTAAAACTGACTAAAATAGAGTGTAATTTTTCTGGATCACAATCACCTTTTTGTGATCAAAATCAAATTTTCTTCATGTCTACTTTGATACAATAAAAAGCTCCAATAATATATGCACACTTGGTTTCGATTAGGTCACAGGAACATTAAATGTTACAATCCATTTTATGTCCATAATAATATCATGCCTTAGGGTCTAAATTTATTCTTTGCCCCATGATAAAATTGAAGAATAAAAGGCTAGCAGAGTTGCTGATCACAGCTCAGGGTAAATGGGTAGTTGACATGAATTGTCAAGCAGTGACAGCAGTCTATCAGCTAAAACTATTTTACAATATTTCTCTGGTTTTACTATATGGCAGCATAAAAATTCAGCATGGCTATCACAGGAGTAAATCTCATTTTAAATGAAAATATAATTACATTTAAAATAAATCAGTTAATTTAAATAGTAAAAATAAAATATTTCACAATATTAAAGACATTTTCTGTAGTAAATCCCGTATGGGTGAGCATAAGAGACTTCTTTCAAAATGACTAAAAAGTACTGACCCCAAGTTTTTAAATGGTAGTGTGTGTGTGTGTGTGTGTGTGTGTGCATATATATATATATATATACTGTATATATACAGTGGGGAAAATATTTATTTGATCCACTGCTGATTTTGTAAGTTTGCCCACTTACAAATAAATGAAGGGTCTGTAATTTTTTACAGTAGGTTTATTTTAACGTATAGAGACAGAATACCAACCAAAAATCCAGAAAAAACACATTATATAAAGGTTAGAAATTGATTTGCATTTCAGTGAGTGAAATAAGTATTTGATCTCCAAGTAAAACATGGCTTAGTACTTGTTAGAAACACTTATTGGCAAGCACAGAGGTAAGACTTTTCTTGTAGTTGGTCACCAGGTGTGCACATATCTCAAGAGGGATTTTGATCCACTCCTCTTTATAGATCCTCTCTAAATCCTTAAAGGTCCCCTGAAATGCTTAGAAACACGCAGCGTTACTCTGTGTTGACGTCATTTTAACTGAAACGGGAAGACAGGGCGGGACATATCAAGCAGCCCCGCCCCTTTTTAAAATTGCAAAAAGCGTTCGTTTATATCACAGCTTGGGCTAAAGCCGTTCAGAGCCGTTGAGCTCCGTAAAGCCGCATTTGACAGGGTATGCCAGCCACAATCTCATCCATATTGCTATAAAATATAGCATTCTGTGTAGAATTAAAATAGCTTCGATACATTTTGTGGTCTGCGCCAACTCGTGCATGTGATCCGCTCCGTGCTATCTTGTCTCTGGACCGGAGCAGAATGTGTGTGCGGTGCGGTGGTTAGAGTGACACAGTGCGAAACCAGACTTCTTTGTTTCCTCAATGGAAAGTATATTTACACAGTTTGAATCGTTCCCTGTCCCCTATATAGTGCACAGCATGCCATTCACTGTACAGAAAATACTAATTCTGTGGACAAGTGACCGATTTCAGCCGCGACTTCAGCGTCTATTTTATAGTGTAGGGGGCAGGCGCTTTGGATTCTAGAGCATTTGATTGGACAAAGTTTGATGAGAAACTGAAGTACGATGTGACATCAAAAAAATCGTTGAGCCGGAAGTGACTAACTGCAAGCTTTGAATGCTTATATCTTCTAAATGCGAATTTTGTCAGCGTTTTGGAGCACACTGCCTTATTGATAACCTTAAGACTAACATATTGATACAAACTGATTTCATGAGGACTTTAAGGTTTCTTGGTTGTCGTTTGACAACTCGAAGTTTCAGCTCCCTCCACAGATTTTCTATAGGATTGAGGTCTGGAGACTGGCTAGGCCACTCCATGACCTTAATGTGCTTCTTCTAGAGCCACTACTTTGTTGCCTTGGCGGTATGTTTTGGGTCATTGTCATGCTGGAAGACCCGTCCATGACCCATCTTCAGTGTTCTGGCTGAAGGAAGGAGGTTCTCGTCCAAGATTTTACAGTACATGGCCCCGTCCATTTGCCCCTCAATGTGGTGGTGAAGTCGTCCTGTACCCTTATCAGAAAAACAACCCCAAAGTATTATGTTCCTCCAAACACGGCGAGTCGAGTTAATGTCAAAGAGCTCAATGTTGGTCTCATCTGACCACAGCACTTTCTCCCAAGCCTTCTCTGAATCATTTAGATGTTCATTGGCAAACTTTAAACGGGCCTGTACATGTGCCTTCTTGAGCAGGGGGACATTGCGGGCACTGCAGGATTTCAGTTCATTGCGGCGTAGTGTGTTACCAATGGTTTGCTTGGTGACTGTAGTCCCAACTGCCTTAAGATCATTAACAAGCTCCTTCTGTGTAGTTCTGGGCCGATCCCTCACCTTTCTCATGATCATCCTTACCCCATGAGACAAGATCTTGCACGGAGCTCCAGACCAAGGCCGATTGATGGTTGTTTTGTATTTCTTCCGTTTCCGAACAATCGCACCAACAGTTGTCTCCTTCTCACAAAGCTTCTTGCTGATGGTCATATAGCCCATTCAAGCCTTGTGCAGATCTACAATCTTGTCACTGGCATCCTTTTTTCTGGATTTTTTTTAAACCTACCATAAAAAGTACAGACCATTCATTTCTTTGTAAGTGGGCAAACTTACAAAATCAGCAGGGGATCAAATAAATATTTTCCCCACTGTATGTGTATATATATATATATATATATATATTTGAAAGTATACACTAATAATTCGAATAATCCAGGGTGATCGGTCACATGGCATTTTCATCTCTGGTAATGGGCTTAAAAAACACAATAATCAAAAATGACGAAAAAATATGTATTTAAATAAATGTATTTAAAATAATTAGCTCCATATTATTTGTCTGTCATCCGCATGCTAAAATATTCATGGTCTTTCAGATAAAGCCTGATGGCATGAGTCACTGTGTGGGCTCAACAAGAATCTTTTTTTTTCACTGATTGTGTGTCTCTGTATTTATGATCTCTAGTGTAAATTGCAGCCTTGTTAAGCTTTGGACTCAAAAAGCTTTTAGCTTCTGTGCGTGAGGCACTGTGGTCAAAACAGTGTAATGTGTAATTTAGCAGTGTTTAGTGTTTCCTGACAATATAGGTCCCTCTTCCGTAGAGGATCCTGGGCCCTTATATGCATTTATTTGCCCCTGAGAGACAAGAAACTTTTCATCTGTTCAGTTATACAAACACTAACAATATAGTGAGTCATCAGCTGTTCAAAGACAAGAGGAGGGTTTTTTCCTCTCCCTTCTTTTCTAACATCAACCTTTTGTTCTTTTTGTTTTTGTTGTTGTGATTGTTTTACATTGCCTGTTTACACTGCCAGCACTTCAATAGCCAGGAAATATTTTACTGATATGCCACAAGGCCATTGTTTCCTTACAATTACATCACAAATGTACAAATACAGTACTTGAAAAGAATAAAGACGCAAAACCGAGTGAGAGAGACTGAAAGAAAAAGGATGGGCATGAAAAAAGTAACGGAACGGAAGGGTGTTGTCTTAAAGAACTGTGTGTACTGATAACCAGCTGTTTGTGTTTGACGTTATAATACTCTCAAATTTTCAGATATCTTGAAAAAACAAAGATTTATTCTATTCAACTTCCCACTGGTTGCTTATTCTGAGCTATTTTGCATTTGTACAGATAGAGAGAGCAACTCTATTTCAACATTACATTTAGAAAATTTGCCAGCGTTTATTTTCTGATACACTATTGACCTCAGCCAACTGAACTGATATATTTGATTTATCTATTGGCGTGTATTAAAATTGTTTGCCAGTGGTTGTCATGCCAGCAATAATGAAGGATCTACAGTTACTTTGATTCCCAGATCTCCTGTTTGTTGATGTTTTTTCTGATTTCTTGTTCCCGTTCTAATGGATGTAACCAAGAATGGGCCAAGAACTCATATTGCTTACAGTTCCTTACAGTGGCTTAGGCTGCATTTAAAAGTGTATGAACGGTATTATATTAAATAACCTAATACGAAATAAACAGTGACAAATTATGCTAGACCTACTCTTTCTTTCTTTCTTTATTCATTGGTTTATTTTCATTTTTTGGCAAAGGCTAAGGCGTCAGCAGAATCCTGGCCTCTTTGGCAAGATGAGGACATCAGCTTCCTCGCGTTTTGTGCCTGAAGACGCAGACACCCCCCCTAGTGACCCAGATGAAGATGAGGAAGAAGAACTGCAGCTCCAGATCTCCTAAAATGTTCACTCCAGACCTGGGAATGTACGAAAGACTCGTAGCTCGCACCCGAGCATTTCACTTTCCCCTTCATTTCATCTCCCAGCTGAATCCAGAGGAGGACACAGACTTCACAATCCTCAGCAGACAGATAAACACAACTAGTTTTTCAGTAGCCACTTTTCAACAGCGTAAAAAGTGTGTGCGCCAGGGCCAAAGCTGTGCTTTAAACTGTATCTGAAATCTCATCTAAAAATCTGCTTCTCTGTCTCAACCAATATATTCCTGGTTATAGTCCAAGATGGCACATAGATGATTGATCCAAAGATACACATGACTTTGTACAGGTTCATAGACTATTGTTAGACTCCATCGTTGACTTTCAAGGGTCATATGAGCACTAAAAAGCCCCTTTGATGCCTAGTGACTCCTAGAATGCACATGGTAAAGTAATAGGAGCACGCGTGCGTTGGCACACAGTTCAAAGCCTGAAAAAGCCAATTGTTACTTGTTCACACTTTTAAACAATGATTCCCTGGAAATAAATTGACAAGGTCTAGACGCATCACATTACAATCTCTTATCTGGCCTACAAAAGCACCCATGCGTCCATACAGTACCTCTGCTTTTCCGGTTCATGTGCGGTTTACATGCGTGTTCCCTGCCTCCCCTCTTCATTTTTCCCATCACCTGCATTATCATTTTTTTCTTGCCACCCTTTCCTTTCAATTGTTCCCTTTTTCTCTTCCCATTCATTTTGATTTCTTATTTAATCTTTTGTCAGCCCTCCCACACATCCTTATTCCTTAACACCAACTCTCACATCAATATTCAAAACAACCCATTCAGAACGTGATAATTATGTTTCCTGTGTCTGGGGAACATTTCATTTCTGCTGTGTTGTTACTGAAGAGGCAGACAAATGATTTGTTTTTTGCAAGTAGTCCTGTTTTAATTGTCCCAGAGTTTTTCTTGGTGACCATATAAATGTGTTTCTGTCTTTGCAGTGGAGGACTAGTCTTGTTTTATATAGGAAGGCGGGAGGGAGATTGTGGGTAGTTTGTGAACGAGTCTGTTGGATTCTTATTAAATATATACAAGAATAATTACTTTCTCCTTTTGCATTTCAACCTGTTGAAAGGGACCGGTGCATTTAACAAATGTTCCGTTGATTTTAAACATACTTTTAAGCAATATTATACTGTCTACATCTGCAATGGGGACCAATACTGACTCATCTTCAACTGGGACATTTGTGCTGGTCATATTAAAGTATTTATCAGATTTTTTTTTTTTTTTACTGAAGTGGCCTGTATTACAGTTTTTGTATTTGTTTGTGTTTGTATTTTACCTCTATAAATGTTATGTATATACAGTAAATACTGGCTGTGTGACAGTTATTTTGTGACAAATGGGTGTGATTTTAATCTACACTGAGTTTGTATGTGAAGGAAATGCATACAAGTTTGGAACAGCAGTGAGTCAGTTTTACTGAAGGTGAACAATCCTTTTAAAGCATTTATAGTCACCATAAATTCTAAATGAGCAATTACTTTCTATGGAATATTGCAGTGTTTTTGACTACAATATTTTTATAAAATTCACGTGTCCTTGTAATCTTTAATCAAAAATGCTCACATGAGATTGCAGCAATTAGCAAACAATCCAATCAATTCCAGATGTACAAAATCCACTCCTGCCCTACATATTTTTTTCTTTTTTGAGAACCCGCTTCACTCCGATATAGGCCTACCTCACAATACTGAAGAAAATACCATCGCAATTTTGTTTCATGCCGACTAAAATCACACATTTGACTGCACCTTTCTAGGGACGCTGTGCCTCTCGGTGACATCTTCATAATAACATCTCTTATAAGCTTTCTCATATGCTTTGAGTATGTGTGCTGTGTTCACAGTGATAATTAATTACAATGCAGGTAGTGTTATGCTTGAATTGGTCTTCTTTCATACAAGATTCAGCAACCAATGATGACCCCAGGACAGATATCTTTCTTTACGTGTCTGTGTTCTAAGAGGTTTATAATGTGTTGTATGCTAAGATTAGCTGGTCATTGTAGAGGGGATTCAGATCCTTCAGTCCAACCTTACAGCAGTTTCATTTTTTAAGTGGTTTATTCAGGAGAGCTTGATTATATAGCTGAGCAGACTTCAAACTAAATTATTTTTACTTTGCAGAAGACATTTACACACTGCACTTTGCAGATGCAGTTGGAAGGTCAATGTGGCGGTGCACCAAAGCATAACGTGCCAGGAACTAAAGTCCCTAGAGACCTATTATTTTGTGTGTTTAAATGTATGTTTAAACTGCATCAGGTTGTGTTCTGCTTCATTGGATATTTTGGCTATTACTGAGGTTTTGAGTAACATCCTGTTTCATTATAATGATGATAGTGCAGAGACCGAGCAGCTTTAGCATCCAATGGCCAACATGTACCTCTTAATATATTTTATTCTCTATTTTCCCTTTTCTTACCTTGTTTAACTTCTAAATTCTTCACTTAAGCTCATCTCCGTTATCCCTGTCTCCTCCACCCATGTATGACAGATGCTGACAGAGTCTTCCTGTGCCACTGAAGAAGAAGAGACGAGGTGTTAACTTTTTTGCTACCTAATGTAGTGTGTCCTCAGTTCTACCTGCACTTATGGTTAATGTAGCAAGTCATAATCTGAAGCAGGAAAGACTAAAATAACATCCTTACTCCTTTCTGGCCCCTTTAACGGCCTCCAATTATTCACATCTCAAACTTGTCAAGGAATAAGTGCTTAATTCAATATTGACATCTGGAGACCTCAAGTATGAAGGCTCAAAAGTGTGCATGCAACGAGAACAGTATGGTAATATCTATATAGAGATGAACAAGATTTCCCCACCGAGTGTCTAGAACCAACTTATAGTTCTGCTTTACCACATTGACACTTAGTGTAGTCTGTCAGCAGGCTGTGGAAGGAACTGTGCTGAATGTAATGAAATACAGCCTGTAGTACTTAAGCTTTCTTTGCATATCTCTGCCCTCCTCCGTGTAATATTTGGTCCAGCTGCTTATATATAATTACCACAATTAAAAAAAAAATAAAAAAAAACTTCACTGGAGTACTGCTTCTACAGATGGGATAAATACTGAGATACTAGATTTTAATGCAGCTTTTCTGAACAAATTCTGAGTGATGCTTGGGATACTCACTATCGCATTGCTGAGGTGGTTTCTAAGGTACTCTGAGTGTTTATGTAGTTCCTTATTGGTACAAGTCCCATCCCTGGTGTCTACAATATTCTTCTCCTAAGTCTATGAGATTTTTTTGTCTGTTTGTTCTATTGGTCGCCATGTGAAAATTACAAGTCTGAAAAGTAATACCACACCTCTCAACAACTGTACTTTTTGAGGTATCATTCATAACTGTAGTACAATGGCTAGAGCGAGAAGACATTTTACAGACGAACACAATGTGGAAGACATGTTTTCATCACATGTTTTCAACACTATGACTTTTTGAGAAATGTCTTAGTGTCCTTACAGTCAAGGAAGTCAATGATAAGCAAAAATGTTTGGTCATCAACATTATACAAAATATCTTATTTTGTGTTCTGCAGAAGAAAGTCTTATATGTTTTGAACGATAAAAGGAGAGAAAATGTTGAACTGTCCCTTTAAAAGTGAATACTGGAATTCCAGATGCTGAAAAAACACTATTTACAGTTACATTTGCTCTTATTTCATCCATACCAAGTAGAAAATATCAAGCAAAAGAGTATCCGAGCGCAGCTAAGAACAATGCGTGTTGAGGAGAAAATGAATGGTAATTTAAGCTTCTTAACAATACGAGCCATATCATGGTAAAAGTGCAATACGTTCTGATTCTGAAATAAAATTGTTCTTTTTTTGATGGGTTAATTTGCACCTAAAGTTGCAACACTCTACACAATCCTAGAATTCACAATTCAATCTTGTTTGATTGTGTGGTCTTTATGTGGTTTTACTAATAGAAATATATACTGAATAAAAAAGTAACTTGTAGTGTAGCTACAGTTTTAAGGCAACTTTCCAACACTGGTCAGATTGTTTTCCATTTGCTCTCACATTAAACCCCAATTCTATCCTAAAAATACTCAATCCACGTGAGCAACCTTGTTTCTTATTTTTAGGGGGGAAAAAGAATGTGTGTTGTTCTGTTTTTAATCAGAACTAAGAACTAATTTAGGATGTGCAAAAGATCGACAAAATTAACCCATTGGACATGGGCACAAAATGCTACGATTCCATCAATTTGATTAAAAAATTGATTAATTTTCCAATTAAAAGGAACCACTCTTAATTACTGATGCTAAGTGAACACAAGCTCAGAGTGCTGCTATTGTTTTAGGATGCTAATGAGAAAAAGCTAATTCAGATTGCTGAATTTTTTACTAGCCAAGAAGATTAGAGCTAGTAATTAAACTGTTGTCCTCCGTATTAGGCAGTTTAGTCCAAACAGCTTTAAACTGTTTTGTGAAGTCCTTCAGGATTGCAATTATCGTTCCATCCTTATTTTATTTTGGGAAAGATAGTCTGTTCCTTTTTCAGTGAACGAAAAATATTTATTTATCATGTCTGTCCCTGTACTGAGAGAGACAAGTTGAAACAAGTGAACATGACAGGCTCATCAGCTGGAATCTCCATCATGACTCCAACAGTGAGTGTGCAAACCCTTCACTGTGCTGTCAACTTCAAATGACACCCCTGATGCCAGCCACGACAGACAGGAGAAATAGAAAATAAACAGTTGTTTCACAGACAACAGGAATTTTGTCCCCCATCTCTTATTTAAATTCCCTTCTCTCCCTCAACTATCGCAGGGCTGTCTTTCCAAGCGAAGACATTTGACAACAGAGAGACACTTTGTAAGCTTCCACCGGTGCAGACGCTATTTCCTCCATATCTCTCCCCAGCACGCTGTGAGAGTTGAGTGATAGCATAGCACCATGTCTGTGGCAGAAAGAGCGAGTTCGATAACAGATTCTCAAATATCACTTGCTTGTAAAGCAGAAAGTCTTTTGATATTCATCTCATGGTCAGCTGTCATTTCAGACAGAGTGTATCTATCACTTGTTTTGCTTGTTTCATGTAATGTTATTTTATTAACAAAGTTTGGGAGGAGTATGTTCAGATAATAAACTAATTCAGCACAGGTGGAGCACGTACAGATAATCAACTTAATTAGCATTATAGTAAATATATTGTTACAAGCCTCCCTGTTTGTCTAGGGGTAAGTGAGGCTGTAACAAATAAATTAAATAATAAAAAAAAGGTCTGACGGTCACAACAATCCCCTGATCCAGAAAAGCACCAAACACAAACTTAAACAAATAGCTTTTTTATTAATAACAAAAAGAATTACAAAGGAAGCAACCCAATTGTCTCTTAGATAGTGAACAGACAATATTTTGGGAACAGTCTTATATTCTCGAAAGGGCATCTGCCATAACGTTCTCCACCCTTCTCTTGTGCCGGATATCCAAATTGTACTCTTGTAGAGTGAGAGACCACCGCAGCAATCGTTGATTGGCACCTGACATATGAGAAAAGAACACCAGGGGATAACAGTATACACTACAACAGGGCTAATTCTGTTTCCCAGGTATACATCAAAATGGTTGAGAGCTAATAACAGTGCAAGGGCCTCCTTTTCAATTACACTATAATTCCGTTGAGCTCCAATGAACTTCCTAGAAAAATAGGAGAAAGGATGTTCAACACAAGGTTGATCTTCCTGTAACAATACTGCTCCAGCACCATTATCGCTCACATCCACCTGCAATGTGAAAGGTCTAGCAAAATCAGGGGCAGAGAGAACAGGAGCCTGATCCTGAGATCCTTAGCTGCTTCAAAGGCAAGTTGACAGCCAGTAGACCACACAAACTCTCGTTTTATGCTGAGGAGATCTGTGAGTGGACCGACCAAGGTGGAGAAGTTTGGACAAAAAGCACGATAATAACCACTCATCCCCAG